CCCCCCCTCCCCCATTCCTATACACTGCTGTGGAATCCGCACTGTTCGACCCATGTGGACCTGTACACCCGCCAATACAAACTATACTGGCCAGTCTTTTCTCTCATTTTATGCATTTGCAAAATAAAGGCGATATTAAAGTCCAAAGGTTTTTAAGTTGTTTCAAATGCTGGTGAAATCACTTACAGTAGATTCTGCTCCTTGGGGGCACCCTGGTGGGGGGAATACACTTATTTATATTAAATGGGCCCAGCCATCCGCGTGCATGAGCCTTTAATGAATTGGTTGCTCCTCCCACCACTACTTGAGAGCAGTTATCAGGCTGAGCTTGGGCCTAAAGTTGGATCCAGGAGGACAGTAGACTGGATACATTTCTGCTGCAGTTTTGACCTCTCTCTCTGTCTAATCCACACCAAGTTTGGGTCAGAGCCTTTTAACACTTCATAACAGTAGGTAAATATCAGATAGAGCAGGGCTGGGCAGACTCTGGCCCTCTAGCTGTGGTGAAACTACAATCCCATCGTGCATCTGTCTCTGGCAGTCGTGGCTGTGAGAATCATGCAATGATCCATTGTCCAGGCCTACTATAGCTACCACCTCTTTAGACACCCATTCATGTATGTTCCCAGCTGCAAGTACAGCCACATGTTCAAATGCTACCTGTGCATCTATGCAGGCTGCCCTAAAACAGCGCAAACCCCTACCCTCCTTCAATGTATAGAATGACTGCGGCTCCTAAGGCCGGGTCTAGGAGGAGGGGCATGGCTGTTGGCATTATGAGACATATACCGTAGTCCCAAATAGGGTTCCTATGTGATGTGCTTATTGTGCCCTTCCCGGCCAGAAGTTCCCGCTGAGCGAACCGGGCCAGCAGGGGTGAAGCCTCAATTTATATGTGCTTTCTCGCACATTAAAAGGAAATGTTTTACTTAGTGGTATTGTATTTGTGGTTTTTATTATAGTTAAGCTGAAAATAAACCAGACATCTTTTCCTGGTGCCTGACACAGATCAGCCTCTCACTTAGTGACATAATCCAGAGTTATAATCCTGCAGTCTGATTACTGGGGGAGAGAAGTCAGAGGGCTGGTTCACACCGCAAACAGTCTGGAACGCACTATTATCGCACTCCGGCCGGCTCTCAGGGGCGGGAGGGGGCGTGGCGGGTGCATTGAAGTCAATGGCACTGCAGCCACACCCACAGGCCGCAGTGCAATCACCCGAACGTGTGGCACATCGATGTCTGCGGTCCAGTCAGAAAAAATAGTGCCGGCAGCAGACTGATGACATCATCTCTACGTAGGCAAAGCCACTTGACTGAAGCTCAGAGATGGCTTGCTAATAAAAGGTGGAGCTTTTTTTGAAAAACAATACTGTTGCTGTATATTGAGACCTGTCAGGATTGTTTTCAGTTACTGAGAGGTCCACTTTAAAGGAGACTGGAAGAGCTACCCATATGACTAAGTGCCCATCCACACTACTGTAGTGCGGCGGCGCACGCATTATGCTGCATGTTAACGTGTGTTGTGTTAAAGCAGCCTATTTGTTTGAAGGCTGCTGAACGCATCACAAAAGATGCATGTACCATTTTTGGCTGTGCGCTGCAATGCATGTCTCTTCACAAGATGCGTTAGGGTGCCATTCAAAATGAAATGTATTTTATCAGACCAATGTATGTAACACGAGTCTTGTGAATGGGCCCCAAAGGCTTGATCCTTTTAAGCTATCACCATTTGCCATAGTCATTGTTGTTTTTCAGCTCTCATTGGCTCTCTTTACTAAAGATGATTGTAACAGCAAATTGTTTTGCAGGTACACAAACTTTTTCCCCCAAGTATTTTTCATTTTGTGTTTATTGGTACCTCTTGACATCATGTTTTAACTAGGTTTTGAAGTTGTCCATTCCTGTAGTCACATTTGTTGTGTGACTTGTATGTTCTAAGTTGTGTCACCATAAGGCCGCATTCACACGGGGGCATATGCTGCGCTCTGGGATTCCTGTGGCAAGAATGAACGGGTTCTTGTAGCAGGAATCCCAGGTCTGCCTAGTCAGATGAGGGCCCTTGTGCCTGTTCAGATTAATGACCGGGCGACAGCGGGCACATCTGTCAGCAGCAGTACACATGTAATAGTACATGGCATGATAGATAATTGTCTCTGCACACAGGATAGATACGTCTAGCGACAATCGTCTACACCCAACTGCATGTAATTGCGCCATGTACAACGAAATGTAGACTACTTCTGATCGATGCGGCCGCTGTCACCCTGTCATTAATCTGAACAGACACAGGGGCCCTCATCTGACTAGGCACACCTGGGATTCCTGCTGCAATCCATTTGTTCTTGCCGCAGGAATCCCCAAACGCAGCATATGCCCCAGTGTGTATGGGCCCTAATACTTCTAAAAGTGTTTTGTCCCCTCCATGGTAGAACACGTGATTTGGGGCCTTCTCCCTAATCTGTCCTATCTGTGTACATAACGTTCCATACACACAGCGGTACGGGTAGCGTGCAGTCAGAGCGGTGATGACTCACCAGGGCTGTATTTCAGCTCTCCTCCATGGTAACATGTACACCCACTCCTCTGCTGTACATCAGGAGCTGGCAGGCTGCTCTCCTGAGCTGGCCACCTATTTTATTGCCACCGCGGCTCCTGTGACCTTTTACAGTAACTGCATCTAGATACTTGCACACATACTATAGTGCTGTATGATAGATACTCGAAGTATAAATGGCCCTTCAAGGCTGCAGAGAGACCTTCCTGCCATTTCTAATGCAAGCTGCAAGGGATCTTATTCAGTAGTGTTTCATTCTGTGAGTCAAACTTTTCTAAACGAAAATGTGAGCGAGTCTGTGTTACATGCGGTGTGACTTTGGGGATTTCCAGTGTGGTCACAATAGTTTCCCGGACTGTAACCATTCTCTAACCCCATCACCTTCCTGCATCCCCTGACCCTGCCTCTTCCAGCTTCTTCACAGGATTTCTTGTGACTATTAAACTGCTGGAAGGCGATCACTGTATAGCAGGGGTGGAGAAACGACTTCAGGAGCCAGCAGGACATTTTTAGGAGCTAGCTCCATTGACAGCATCTGGAGAGAAACTCAATAGTTAGGCGCCAGCTGTCCCATTGGCGACCTGGCTCCTGAGATTTGACCAGTTCTGCAGTACGCAGATATTGTGTGCATTGCATTCCTTCTCTTCCACAGCAAGGTGGCTTGACAAAGGTGTGGAGAGAAACGTTTGTGTTCTGCCCTCCCACCTTTTTTTTTTTATTTTTAGAAATGCAACAGTAATGAATGCCCTAATTAAAACCTTGCCTGTTCCTTTAATCTTGCTCTAATAGGACAATGTGTGCCCTTTGGCAGCATCAGGCGTTGCTTCCTCTTTTTAATTAGAACTTTCCTAACTGTGTAACAGAGATGCAATGTAAGCAACTTATTGGGACAGCCCCATACATAGGAAGGAATTATTCAGATCCAACTAACATCCTGGATGCTTTCCAAATGACACAACTTTCTGTATGCAAGTAAACTTATACATTGGGACTGTAGTTGCTGAAGGACTACAGCGGAGCATTAGAGACCTAACTTAAAGTGACACTAAACCTGGGCATTAAATCTTAATGATGCATCCAAGTACCCTAATTATTAACATAAATGTATCTTCTTTGTGTATCACTTGGCTGTAGATCCTCTAATCATCTCTGAATTCATGCTGACACTGTCCTTCTTCCTGGAGGTTGCTACTTCTTCCTGTGTGTTGTAAATCATTCCTGTCATGAACTACAATCTCAATACAAATTTAGTAAACTAAATGTGAGATTGTAGTCCATCACAGGAGGGAGCTTGGAGCGGTGGCTATTTGACCTTCGCTATTAACAAACATGTATTTTATTTGTGTATCACTCGGCTGTAGAGTCTAAAATATGTTGTAAAGTAACCAAAGGTGAGCTTGTCCTCTAAATCCTGAGTTTAGTGTCACTTTAAAGGCCGTGACACACTGCACGCGAAGCGGTGGCCCGCTGCCTTTGCGAGCAGTGTGTCATGTCACTTTCTGCTCGGCAGCTCAGCTTGCGAGAGCTCGCAGAGCTGAGCGTGCCGACATGAACAATTTCAACTTCAGCCAATCGGCTCGCGCGTATAAACCGGTGCGACGTCTGGCCAGTTGTTACAGACGAGCCGATTGGCTGAAGGCGCAGTCAATCATCTGACTGCACTCAGCTCACACACTGCACGCGAAGCTCCGTGCCGGATAGCTTTGCTTCGCTCTGCACGGCTTCGCGTGCAGTGTGTCACGGCCTTAAGGCTGGGTTCACACCTAGGCGTATCGAATATGCAAGTTTCGTGAAGCGCGTTTTTACCGCGATTCGCGGTAAAAACAAAAACGCCGCAAAGAAGCTCCTGTACTTATTTGGGCGTAGGGCAATTTTGTAGCGCGTTCATACGGCCTGTAAAACGCCCAGGTGTGAACCATACCCATAGGAAATAATGGGATTTCTGTGTTTGAGCGTTTTGCAGAGCGTTCGAACGCGCTACAAATGCCCAGGTGTGAACCAGGCCTAAACATTGCATTGTGCATGAATGATCCACATAATAATATAGTCACTGTTTAATCAATCAGCCGGCTCGATCACTTTTTTTAAAACCATTGCTGGATAGTTGTATCGCTGTGAATTTTCTGTAGTTTAGTCTTTATTCTTGTGAATTATTTCAGCTTGATTAAAGGAGAATTATGAGATGATTTTCACTCACCTCATAGTTCTAGCCGACCTGTGACAATGAGACTGTCACAGGTCGGCTCAGTAGATCGGGAGGTGAGTGAACATATACCGGTGTTCGCTCGCCTCACGATCCTGTCACTGCTCTCTGCCGTGACATGGGAGGGGCTGGATTCCCCTCTCCCCGCTCCGATCCGCCAGCGCTGACTGGTGGAACGGACTGGTGGAAGGGACGGGGGAGGGGCGGGTACAGCTGGCTCTGCCTCTAGATAGGCAGAGCCAGCTGTCAGTCACGCAGCTGGGCGGTTCCCGGCATAATTGTCGGGATCCGCTGCAGCGTCTTAGTATACCGCGAGCGGTATACTGCGGCGTCTCAGTATACCGCGAGCTACAGCTCGCGGTATACTGAGCCTAGGGTGACGGGAGGACGCTTGTTTGTGTCCTCCCGTTACCCTAAGGAGAACTATGGGGAAAAGCCTTAACCCCATAGTTCTCCTTTTTTAAGGGCTCCTTGCCCAATTTTTTTTTTCCACAAATTTTTTTTTTTTTTTTTAAAGTTGGTTGCAACTACAAAGAAACAGACTGGATCCAAAATTGAAACAAAGCAGTACAGCAATAACAAACATATCCAGTAACCTAGTACATGAAGAACAATAATAGGTTAAAGGGGAGAGTACAAACAGAAAAAATAAAATGTGCACTAAAATCAAACATGAACATCTCAGGGGTTTGCTGAACACCAGCAGGTAATCGGAGCCAGAGAAAGGTCAGTCTGCGGAAGAGGACCTGTTTGGATGTCAACTATGTGGATGAAGTAACAAAAGATGACCAATTCCATTCCATCAAAAGGAGATCTAGGTGCTTCCCCTGCTAAGTTAGATGATGAACAGTTACATGACCGTTAAGGGCGCCATCCCATGAGCGCAGGCATCCATTACCCCTGAACATATAAAGTTCTTCCTGGGCAAGTAAGCAAATAATACATATATTGCTCATTGTCATTTCTGAAGGCAGCCTACTACTGGCAAGTCCTGCCAACATCTCTCTGGGGTATGTCGGGCACTGGGGGTTACGGTTAGTCTTTTTTTATTGTGGTTCAGAGGCACCACTTGGGGTGTCATTCAGTCAATACATGTGACTGGCAAAGGTTTGCTAGGAACAAACTATTTCCACCGTGCCAAGATGAATGGTACTGCAAGCTGAGGCTAGAAAATACTGGAGTGTATGAGGATGGGTGGCTCCTTATGGCACGATGCTTCATTCATGAGACTTTGTATGGAATAGCCATAAATCGGACGGCGGCACGATCTGCATGGGGTGCCAATAGACAGTGCCGGCGCTAGCATAAGGCTGCATAGGCAGCCGTCCTGAGTGCCGGGGTTGGCACCTTCGCCTGTGTAGGTAAAAATCCTTGCACCAGCCTTTGCTGAACACTATCTCGGCCAGGAGGCAATTCTGCCAGCAGCCCTTGGAGAACCCCCACGCCTCTGCCTCAAAGGTTTCCGCCGGTTTGTGCTTCTCCGATCTCAGTGGCTGTAGTGATTTCTCTTTTGGTTATTATTATTTTGTATTAGGACAAGTAGATTGTTATGAGGGAAAAGTAGATTGGGCCCCCGCTTTAGTTCTTGGACACATAGTTGTTGTTTTTATTTATTTTTTTAATTCCACACCCTTGTTTCTGAATCCTCAGTTGATATCAGCCTCCTGTAATCCCTTGTGCAGTAGAACTCTAACTCGGAGGTAGCAGCAGCACTAGGAGCCAATCAGGTGTTAAACAGTACTCATTCGTACAGAAGTGCTGCTGCTCTTTCACTGTCCAGTCAATGCCTGAGTGACATAGCTGTAAGGCTTAAAGGGTATTCAAACCCCAACAATGAATTTGTCTAATTTGGTCTCGTGGTCTGTTGAATGTAACATTGAAAGTGATTTTTTGTTCAATAAGTGGAAGATTCTTCCGGAAATCTTGTCCGTTCGTAAATTCCTGTGCTCGCTGCAGTCTTATCAGTTTCATTGTTCCCAGTCATCCTTGAAGACTTCTCCTGGTATGGAGAGGAAAAGAGGAGAGGTTTATAGGCCTGTGCCAAGGTGACATGCAGTGATAATGTTACATTGTTCAGATGTCGAGTTATAGTTCAGAAAGCAGACTCTATGTGAGTTGTTGTGTATAAATCTCACCAGCACTCCAAATACGACAGGATACGTCAAAGTTTTAGTGAATTGATCCCACTTTGAGTGACTTCTAAAAATAAAAATGAAGATTCACTAAAACTTTGACGTATCCTGTCGTATTTGGAGTGCTGGTGACATTTATACACAACGATTTGACTTGACACGGCGCCATCCGTGGTCACTGCGAGCACCCATTTTTTCATATGGGAAGTCCGGTAAGGTGTGCTACAGGCCCTTGGACATTTCTATGTGAGTTGTGACACAAGGAAGTGGATATTCACAGGGCTGAGGAAAACTGTGTCAGTGCATTGCGGATGTCCATCCTATGGGCATCTTTAGTAAGTAAGTTTTTACAAACTTCTAGATCGATATGGTTATTATTATACAGACATAATTAATATACTGCCAACAGTTTGAGGAACAATTTATATCCTATGGGAAGATTAGTACAATTACAATACAATATGATTAGAAGTAGGGCTGCAACTTTACTATTATTTTTATAATCGATTAGTTGGTCGGTTTATTTTTTTCGAATAATCTCCTAATCGGATAAAAGAAAATTAAATGCCATCTTTTTAAAATAAAATACACCAATGGAGTTTTACAAAGTTTATTTCAGAATAAAACTGCGTGCACAATTTTTTGTAATCGCAGTGCTCTGTAACGCAGGGCATTGCGTTACCGCACATTCTGCTGCGGGCGGGAAGCATGTTCTGGGTGAAATGAATGGCACTACAATGCACATCCCACAGCAGAATTTGTCAGGCTGAAACCAAGAATGACTTTTTTTTTCCCCACCTTTTTTTAATGATTTGTGTTTTGTTTGGAAATTCAATCTAGAAATGGAGATTTATTTTTAGTTAGACCCTCGATGCCCTTTTAATAACCCAAAAGGGAGAAAATAAGAGAAGTTCATTGTTGTGCTTTACATACACCAGTGCAGAAAGTGGAGATATTCAGGCCGTGTAAGTGCAGAATAAACCCTGTTGATCTTGTTAGAAAGTCAGAGCTGTCCTGTGTACTCCGCACATTTCTTGTGTTGTCTCAAAGAGATCTCCAAGTTCTTATCTTTTCCTACAGATAGCTTTTGTGTCCTAGAGATTTGAGTGGAAGTGGTTGAGAAGTTAAAGGAGAAGAAAATCACTCACCTCATAGTTCGAGCCGACATGTGACAATGAAACTGTCACAGGTCGGCTCAGAAGTTTATCTCAACAGTAATGTCGGGATCTGTACCGGCAGCAGGGGTCTCGGTATACCGATATCTGTAGTTTGTGGTATACTGAGCTTTGGGTGATGGGAAACGCTAGTTTGTGTCCTCCGGTTACCCTTAGGAGTATAACACTTACCCATAGTTCTCCTTAAAGTCACAAATGACCCCCCCTGCTGCTTTAAGGACTTACCTTGAGTGATGCCTCTTAATCCGATCATCTTCTTTCCAGTGGTTTTCAGGAGCCCCTCCAGGGCTGGTGCCAGCCTCTGATTCAGAGGAGATTCCACGGGACCTACGGTGTCTGTTCGACGTGCACGCTCTCGGCTGCGTGCATTTACCTCCACTGTGTCTCTCTCCTCTTCTCCCCACTCTAATCTTCCTGCATTAATTTAAAAAAAATATTTTGCATCTGCTTGCCTGCAGTAGATGTATGCATAAAATAAACAAGAGTTTAATTCTCCTTTAAGCAAAAAACTATGGTCAGGCCTTCACCACTTAGTAAAAAATAAATAAAAAATGTCCATGTTATGAAATTAAGAGCGGAGTGCATTTCTGGCAGATCAGCAGGTACTTTCTGTACTTGAGGGGTCCTTTAAAGGTATTAAACATGAGCAGATGTGCATGTTTTGCAAGGGTGTTATTTCTATTTTGCCCTGACACACACTTTAAGATCACCACACTGTCATTAATGAGGCAAACCAGAGCTGTAAACTTTCCTGCTCCGTCACTCATCCTGAGGGTTCCATCAGCTGCAAGCTGTTTAACTTGTGTCACTAAAATGAGTTTGTTGTTGGGTCTTTACTGTATGTTTGGCAGTAGGTTTTATTTAAACTATTCTTCCTTTCGGGAAACCGTTCATATATTTTTTTTCTCTTGACATTGAAAGTCTGTAGTAGCTGTAAGAGCTGTGCAATGAGCAGGCCTGGGTCATGCTCTACAGGAAGTGGTCTATGAACTTTCTGCACAATGCATGACGCACATAGGCCACTTCCTGCCCCAGACAAAAGAAGTATGCTGCGTTTGTGTAAACATGTCATTGCTTTCTATCTCATCTTAACCTTCTTTTTCTTTTTTTTTTTAGGTATAGATTTTAAAATCCGCACCATAGAATTAGATGGAAAGAAGATTAAACTCCAGATATGGTATGCTCAGTCCACCCACAGATGTATTTTTATAATGAACCGGCTGACCACAAGATGGTGCAGGTTGATACAAGACCAAAGAACCTCTGATTGTATCCTGTTGAGCTGTTTGTTTTTTGGAAAGCAAAGGGTGCTTATTGTAATGATTCGAGATTCTGCCCCTTTGCCCTTATTACAGCGGCACCCGCTGGTAACAAATGATGCATGATAGAAAGGATTGTGATATTTTTACATTGCTATAACGTACACTAAAACACTGTTAGAATAGCGGGCACATTCACTGCAGTACATCACAACGCACATGCCGCCCTATGCATTGTGGTGCATTGCATTACAAACCACTAGTAACGGCCAGATTTATTCATGTATAAAGGCACCCCGGTTTAAAATGTTTTTTTTTTTTAAACCCCTCTTTAAAAGGGAGCTGTGATCAAACCTTTTTTTGGGCGTTAGTCCTCTTTTTGATCAAAGGAATTGATTTACTAATGTCCTCCTGTGTCCCCAAAACTCAGCATATAGCAAGCTAGTGCCCCTTATATGCTGACAGTGCAGAGCAGCCGGGACAGATCCTGACAATGTTATTGTTGTCAATCCTGCTGCCTGACTGACAGCTGGCTCTGCCTCTCTAGAGCCAGCTGTGCCCACACCTTCCCCTGTCCGTCCCTCCCAATGAGCACTGCAGGAGCAGAGAGAGGAGGGAAGAATCCCTGTGGGGAATGATGACTGACAGTCACTGCTCTCTGCAAGGAGAGATCATGAGCTGAGCGATCAACGGTTTGTGATCACTCAGTTATCCATCTATAGAACCGCCGCGTGACAGCTGCAGTGTCACACGCCGCCTCAAAGTATTGGGAAGAGTACATTTTTACTCTCACAACACTTCTCCTTTAACTGCTTGAAGACCAGGTGTTTAGATCCCCTTCCTTGCCAGGCCATTTTTCAGTGTTCAGCGCTGCGGTACTTTGACATTTATTCCGTCACGCAACGCTGTACTGAAATGAATTTTATACCATTTTTTGGGGACAGATAGAGCTTTCTTAAGCGCCGCCCGGATGTAACAGGACGTGTATACACGCCCAGTTACATCCAAGAAGCTCCCGGCAGGCCGTGTATACACAGCGGCTGGCCGGGAGGTAGTTAAAGAAGAACTCCGGGAATTAAAAAGAAAAAAATGACCCTTGCAGTAGAGCTTACCCCTGCATTGCAAAAGTGAATTGCTTGTTTTGTCTAGGGGTCTCTGATAAAGTGGATATACTCACCTGATCCTTGGTCCTGTGGCAGTCAGTACTCCCCTCTCTGCCCCTCTGCTCCAGCTGTGGTATATCCCTTGGCAACCTCATGCATAATGCAAGTCAATGGACCCGCAGTAGATGTGATTACATCATGGGCCCTTAGTCTGCCAGGGCCCAGGGGAGAAGGGCCTGTGGGAACTGGTCTAGCAGCCTGGCAGGACCAAGGATCAGGTGAGTAAAACTGCTTTATTTGACTCCCCTAGACAAAATTTTAACCTTCACGGTGTAAATACTCATCTTTACTGGTGTCTACTCCTCCAAACCTAGCCCCTAACCTTAGCAGTGACCTGCTGGGGTCCTGACACTTCGGAGAGTCTCTATCTGTGGTCCCCCCGCAGCTGTTACTGGTTCCTTCCTGTCAGCAGGAGGAACCAGTGGTGCCTGCGGGGTGGTATTAAGCAGCCCAGGCACTGGGAAAGGTCGGTATTTATTGCTAGGGGTTAGAAAAAAAAAATTGCTGCTGGGTCATTTTCTAGTGTATGGTCAGTCCATTCAGTGATGCCCCTGAACACAGTATAATGCAATGCATAGTCTGCATGGATCCGAAAGGGTTTTCCATGAAGCTGAAACATTTACTGGTCTTTGCCTTGTAACCAGCATCCAATACAACCCTGGTGGGAATGCTGATTTCCCCCGGATAGAGATCTGCAATTCCAGATTTGTTTCAGCTGCGAGTGATATCTAGTTAAGTAGCTGTAGCAGTCGGGTCTGTGAACCTGTCATGTGCAGTGAACGTACACAGTAGTCCTGCTGTTGCGTACAGCAATGAGTAGGAGGAAGATACTGAAGTTCAAGCTATAGGCATATTTGTATTTCTTTTTAGAGCAGCTCTCCCGTTTTACTATTCCATGTACACAGGTGTAATGACTGTGGCCAGTCTGTTAACATTACGCATTGGTAACATGACGTCAGTATACACAAGCATTCATATTGTACAGAAGTCTTGGCTTGTACAATGATCAATGAGAAATGTCAAACCCTGCAAGATTGTACTTTTATGGAGCCCACTGAGCCCCATGTGTAGTGCTGGCTGCAGTGCACAGAAAACCGGTGCAAGCCAAACGTCTGGGCAAGTAAGCAAGCCCTAATGTTGTCCTCGAGCTGCTGCCTAACCTTGTCCTTTTTATTCTGCAGTTCAGGTCTTGTAACATATGACTGTTTGGGAAATACAATGGAATAATTCTTCTAGCTTTGCTGTAATCTCATTTTCCTGGCAGTCATCCATGCTCTCCTCCTGTTGTATAGATTGTCTTGTGGCTACAGAGAGGTGTTGTGTTTTGGGTAGAGAGAACGGCCAGAAAATGTATGCCGGATCGCTTCTTCCCTAGACCATAACCCGCCCTTGTTCCTAGAAAAAAAGATTTCTGTTTATGAAAAGCAGATGAATCCCTCACAAGTTTACCGTTCGCTTTATTTACTTGTGATCTGAGCCCAGTAAGTTTTGCAGAGGGGCGTAGTTAGTATAATTTGACTTTTGCAGACAAATTTGGGAAATATGTTTGTGTTTCCCTATCACACAACAGGTCTTTGGTCAGACTGCAAGCTACCCTGAACAATTTGAAAGTGAGGGTGGAGGAGGATAAAGTGGGGACATACAATGCAAAACCCAAGCTTCCAGATCTTCAATCCCCTTCTCCTTTTTTTTTTTTTAAGGACACACAGTATTCAAATCTAGTTTATAACTAATGACGTCTGCTAGCACAGTTTAGACAGGGTTAATTATGCAGGGTGTAACATTAAATCTATTCACATCGCAACACACTTAACTGAATTGTGGGGTTCTTCTCCCTGAAGGCTGGTGGTGGTGTTTAAATTTAATGTGACTCCACCTGCACAGCTGTGTCATCCATTCACTTTAACAGGACCTATGCGCGGGAAAAACATGTCCGATCAGCCGCCATGGCAGAGGGACTTTGTAGTCCTCAGTGGAAAACAAGTGTAGTGAAGTCGCAGCACTTGTAGCCCATTCATTCTTCCTATCGTCTGTGTCACTCAATGTCTGTACTGAGGTATGAACATGGATGGGAGGAAGAATCTGCAGAAGCCAGAGCATTGCACCCATGTTCTACTGATCGCAGTTGCAATACCTTACTGGCTGCAATACAAGATAATTCTAAGTGCACATTTTTGTTTTCTTTTATGAAAAGGTGGACTTTGTCTTTACAAAGTCTGCAAGTTTGATGATGATATGAACCTAATAGCAATGACATGCTCTTGAAAGGTTTTTAATGTCTATCCTGTAGAATGACTGACTATTGTAATGCATGTAGAATATCATTTGTATGGTTTTCTTTTTAGGGACACAGCAGGCCAGGAGAGGTTCCGCACCATCACCACAGCATATTATAGAGGCGCTATGGTAAACCTTGCTTTATTTTTCATCGGCCTTTCCTGTAGTTGCAGTCTGCGTTCTTGTAATGGCTTCCTGTACATTCTGCTTATCCTTTTGTCACTTGTGCCTATAACATGTCCTATTGCTTCTGTAACCTTTACGTCTGACTCATTCCATTGTCTGTAGTGTTTCCCACCGCCCTGTCTTGTAACACTGGATTAATTCTTTCCTCCTCTCAGGGTATTATGCTGGTGTATGATATCACCAATGAGAAATCTTTTGACAATATTAAAAACTGGATAAGGAACATTGAGGAGGTAAGTGCAAGACTTGATGATGCTTTGTTGGTTTTTAGGGATGCTTTAGTGTGTGCTTTTTTTATCTATCTGAAATACTTGATTTTGTTAAAATTGCTAATTCATTAGCTCTGTATTTGTTCTGTGTGGGTCTGCTTGTGAACAAAGGTAATCGGGATAATAGGGGGTTTGATGGCTGCGCTCGTACTGTTATTTTTATTGCCTCAATGCACAGGTGTTCTTTTCATGTTTAAACTTCCACTTCTTTTTCTACATATGACACTCAGAGGTGTCGTCATTAAAAAAAGCATTTTTCCTTTAATTCCTGAATACACATTGAAGGAACGTTGCGGAACAGTTGTTGATCCATAGGAAACAGATCAAAGATTTGCTATAGGGCAAATATTTCTTTGGGTTGGTTTTTATAAGGTCACTCCGTGTAGAAATAAGGCACCATAGGTCAAGGTGAACTGTCCCTTTTTAATAAAGTTAAAATATGTTTTAACTTTATTAAAGGGTCAGTTCACCTTGACCTATGGTGCCTTATTTCTACATGGAGTGACTCTCCTGAGGGTACACACTGATCTAGACATGCTAATAGTGCAGGGGGGTCAACTCTGGCCCTCCAGTTGTGCTTTAACTACAAATTCCAACTTGCTTCTGCCTCATGGGAGTCATGTCTGTAACTGTCAGTCTTGCAATGCCTCATGGGACATGTAGTTCCAAAACAACTGGAAGGCCGCAGTTGCCCCTAATACCACAGAAACCTGAAACTGTAAAAGGTTATCATGTTGTTCTTTACACATGTATATAAAAATTAAAGTGAGCTTGTGAGGATAGACATATGGGAGCTGACGTTGCTGGCTTATTAAAGGTGTAGGATTCAGAGTGGTCACCCTGGTCAGGGAATTATTGAAAACAGGGTTCCTGTATTTCTGTCCTCCACAGGTTTGCTTTAAATGCCCTTTAAGCCATTGACTTGTACTGTAACAAATGAGTAGGATTCCATTGTTGACTTCACTTTGTCTTGATGATCCAGTGGATTCAATGCTTTGTGAATGTTTGGCCTGGAAAAAGAACGACTATTTTAAATGCTAACCTAAATGGTGGTGGCAACTATGATGTCCATAGGGTGGTGACCAAATACTTTTAAGTCATGGTCATGGTTGCCAGTGTGCCTATTTCGGCTAAACCAAGCTTTCCATCCCTCAAATGGCTGGTGTCCTAGCTGATCACATGTGCAGCACCATGGCAACTGCCAATCGAAATAGAGGCCAAGATGGCACCTTCCTTGACGGTAAAGGATAGGAAGGTGCAGTTCCACTACAAGGCAAATGATGGCAGTTCATGTAGGAGTACATTTTGTAAGCTTGAGCTCAGCATATGGTTCTCATAGACATGAGATGATAGTAGCAATCTATTTTAGGGATCTCAGACTTCGAATCCTGTTATGTACCTGCCTTTTTCCATCGGCCATAAGCTACCACAGAATTGAGCTGGCTATGCACTGCTCACATTTTGGTCTTGTGTGGCTCTGCTGGCACGACCAGGATGGACAGAAGTTAGTTATTCAATCCTCTTTTGTCAAAGAAGCCAGAAGGAAATTTGTCAGCCAAACAGTGATTGCAATCAATCATCTGAAGTCCATTGTTTGTGTGTGCTGACCGAAACGAGTGCCAGCTTTGTAGTAGTACTTGTACTATCCACGCTTTTTATCATGGATGGAGAAATCTGTCAGATATTTTCATTCAATAAGTGTATGGCCAGCTTTAGCATGCAGACAAAGCAATAAAGATTCCAGTTGCTGATGCTTTCTCTGTGATAAGCCTCTGTGGAGCTCCTCCATGGGCCAAACAGGCTGATTATTGTTTAGGGACAGTGCTTCATGCTGATATTCCTGAGAGATATTGGATTGTAGTTGTGTGTTTGCCCAGTTTTATAGATTTTTATTTTCCCTTATTACCCAGTAACCCCCATTTCAGGCTGGTTCTGTGTCCCTCAATAGACATCTGGGAGGTTTTTGTTCTCATGTTTTATATGTACTGTCCCTGTTAATAGCGTCTTATTTTTGAAGTGCACACATACAGGTATTGTGAATCAGTGTTTAGGTCAGTTAATGGAAGTATTATGTAGAAGGAATACATTTGACTTTGGATTTACACATATGCTTGTACAAACAATTATCTCGCAGCATGCTTCATCTGATGTGGAACGGATGATTCTCGGCAATAAGTGTGACATGAATGACAAGAGACAAGTATCACGAGAGAGAGGAGAAAAGGTAAGTGATCCGCTCCTTTTTTCCACCACTTGTATTGTTCTGACATTTAACAGTGATTGGTTGGGTAAAGCTGGTCACACACTGTTACAATTTCAGATTATTTACAGGAATCAAGCAAAATGTTAACAGTGGCTGGATCTGATGGTACCACCTGGCGAAACAAACTTTGAAAGATTAAAGAATTCTGGGAGAAAATCAGCCACAGTCAACTCTTTGGGGTATTCAGACAGCTGCAGGCGCCAGGTGTCGGAATACAAAAGCACGCAGGGGGAGATTCTTAGCGCCATGCTGTTTACTGTGGTTGAGGGAATCTATAGATTCCTGCTGGGCTGAACGAGAGATATCAGAGCATGGCCAGCTTAACATGGTAAAATGTTTCATGGTTTGATGTATTTTTATTCCAGCTTGCCATTGATTATGGAATCAAGTTTCTGGAGACAAGTGCAAAATCTAGCATCAACGTGGAAGAGGTAAGTGCATGGCACATGGGATCCTCAGTATAAACCAAAGCCCTGATAATAGTGATAGGATGCTAAAAATGGACACTGTGCTATTGGTGGTATCATTTAGGCATTTTTACTAGAGGTGGACCAACCAATTAACTTCAATGGTCTCATAATTAGTTGATAAGTCCACCTGTGTCTAATCAAAGTGTCACATAATAGGAGTATAAACTCACCTGTTCTGATAGGCCCCTGAGGGCCTGCTCACATGAGTTTCAGGTCCTGATCAGGTGCGGATCTGCAGACGCGGTGATATGTGTTTTGGTCCGTTTTTGATGCGTTCCAGTTTTAAATTTTTTTTTTTTACTGGAGTGCGGCTGTCAGTATGTTAGCTGCAGTGCAGTGCGTTTTTGACGCATTTTGCGTTTCCTGACTGTACAAAATGTGACATGCAGTATTTTTCTGTCGTAACCTGAACAGACTGCGCACGCGAGAACTGTAGCCCATAAAACACATAGGGATACATTGGGATGCATTTTTAGTGCAGGAGCATATGGATCAGGTCAGCACAGAAAATGGATGTTGTGTGAACAGGCCCTAAGTCTGCAACTTCACTAAGCAAACATGATGACCAACAAGATCTCCAAACAGGTCATAGGCAAAGCTGTGGAGAAGCAGAGATCAGGCTTGAGGTTTAATTGTTGGTTGTATCACAAAAAAAATATTTTGCACCTATAACATGTGGGCATGTTGTGTACATCACGTGGCACAGACCCCGCCCCCCCCTTCACCAAATATCGATATATATATATATATTCCTGTTTGTAAGGCAATAAAACAGGAAAGACACCAAGGGGGTGGAATATTTTTGCAGGGCACTGTATTTCGGCATTCGAGATGTACTTCTATAGGCAGATACATTTGTATACCACCCATAAGTAGCCTTAGTGATTCCATATTACTTTCTTGTATATTGTCTGTTTTTACCTGTCTGTATTAGGTTACTTTCATCTGGGCCTAAAGTGGACCTTTTACTCCCCTTACTCACTAAAAATCACATCAGCATACAGCTCTACATGCTGATATGAAATTATCTTACATTCATTAGTTAAACAATCATATTTTTCTTTTACTTTCAATTATTGTTTTTCCACTTCCTGGTCCTCTTGGGCATTAGTGATGTAATCGTTCCCAAGCATTGCATTCTAGGAAGGTTACCTCAGCAGAGCATTGCTGGGAAATCTCATCTGTCATCTTATGAGATCTCAGGGAAAGGCGTTTTCCTCCCCTGAGAAGATGTCCTAGTCACATGTTCCAAACGTCCAGGAAGGAAATAGAAATGGATTCATCTGCCCTTAGTTAAAATGGCCACTGTCAGACAAATGGCGAAGAAAATAAAAAAATGAGTGCAAAGAATAAAAAGCCTGCAGTTATCTAGAAGTATGTGTTAGTAGATTGTCATTACTAATCATTTCTAAAGGTGTGCTATCATTTCAAAGATATGGGTAAAGTTCCTCTTTAAACTGTTCATTGCAATCCTTTTAATTTATAGGATATAAAATGTAACCAACGTTTGTAATTATTAAAAAAGTACTCGGAGCAGGTAATTTAATAAAGGTAATGGTAGACCTAAAGAGAGAGACGGCTTTATAGGATAGTCTCATAGAAGACCTTATACAATGTATAGATGGTACTGCATTCATGTGGCTGCTAGATGCAGAACAGCGTCAGACACTCACATTTTGCCGGCACTGTTGGCTTTGTGCTGTCTGGAAACAACTGAAATGGATGGCTTAGCAGGACCTAAATGGTACATCGGGTACAATAAACCTACAACTGTGTACTGAGCCATTGGGCCTATTTCACCCTTTCATAACTGGCAATTGGACTCTTTTTGGTGTCTATGAAAGGCACCGTTTGCTGTAGTACCAGTGAATATTTTTCATCGTATGACAGCTGCACGTATGTATGTTTAAAAGGGAATTGTATAATCTTACTAGATTTTATTTATAGGATGAAAGGCCCCAGGAGGAGCGTTGTCCAATTTTATTTCTTACAGCATTACTAAATCAAGATCTTTCCAAACAGAAATACTGCCACCTAGTGGTTACAGCTTCTCTCTCTCAGTTCAATGGTCACAAATACTCTGAATGTCAAAACCTTTATCTGTTAAAGTACTGGATTTACCCAGAAAATACTAATTTCCTTCACATGCAGCCATGGCATAAGTATTCAGTTTGTGAACAGGATTTTCTAGATACTCAACCTTCTACGCCTGTCATTTGATCAAAGTCTGTCCCTGACCTCTGAGGGTCCCCTTCATCAGGCTCAGAATGACTCAAATGGCCATTTACAAAAATAGATGTGCTGGTGACATTATTTCCTTTTTCTGTGATATACACGGTGCCTTCCGTGATCACTACAAGCACCCACCCAGCTTTGGGTTTTTGCGGTAAGGAGTGCAGCAAGATATTCTGTCTATAGATATATGGTCACCAGCACTCCAAGTTTTTCGGAACCTGTCTGGTCCCTTCATCAGGCAAACAAAATTGATGAAGGGACCGGACAGGTTCCGAAACGTTGCCACACATGGTGAAATGCCCTGCTAGAATGAATACTTTGAAATTTGAAGAAAACGTGGAGTGCTGGTGACGATTTATTCTGCTTTGAACTCTACACGGAGCCCAGGTCAAATTACAGACAGCCTATGCGTTGGGATAATAATCCTTCGTACAGTTCTTTGGTTTTCATGCAGAGAGTTCTACACGTCTAAAGCAGTTCCTAGTTGCAATGCCCGGACTGATGATGTGGTTCTAGTAAACGCAGACCTTCCTGCTTTGAACTATGACATGAGTGATTTCCACTCACCTCATAGTTCTAAGCCGACCTTTGACAATGAGACTGTCACAGGCCGGCTTAGTAGATCGGGAGGTGAGAGAACACATACCGGGTTCCCTCACCTCTCGACCCTGTCACGGCTCTCTGCCGTGACAGGGGGAGGGGCTGGATTCCCCTCTCCCCGCTCCGATCTGCCAGCGCGGAGGGGGCGGGTACAGCTGGCTCTGCCTCTAGATAGGCAGAGCCAGCTGTCACTCACGCAGCTGGGCGGATCCCGTCATCTAAGTCGGGATCCGCTCCAGGTGCGGCGTCTCAGTATACCGCGAGCTGTAGCTCGGCCGAGCTTAGGGTAACGGGAGGATGCTAGTTTGTGTCCTCCCGTTACCCCAAGGAGAACTATGGGGAAAAACACTGTTCTCCTTTTAAGAGCTTTTAGCAAGTGCAGCTAAGAATCCTAATTCTTCTATGTTGACCTGGAGGTTTTCTTTTTTTCTTTTCATATTTGCTTTAAATTGGATTGATGCCATTTTACATGTAGTGATTTTTTTTTTTTTCTTTTTCCTCATTGCAGGCATTTTTTACTCTTGGCCGAGACATCATGACAAAACTCAACAGAAAAATGGTGAGTACATTTATATATTTCTAATCAGTAGAAATTCACACTTAGTGGAGACCAATGACATCGTACCTTCCTCAGTAATAAGGAATTACTTTTACCTCAGTAATTGTTTTTTTTTTTGGGGGGGGGGGTTTGGGGGGGGGGGTTGGAATT